GTTCAATAATCTAGGTTCTAAAGTTTCATACACATTTCGTGCATTGAAAGTATGATGTTCTCTTAAAGAACATAAATTTATTAAATTAGATAAAAAAATGGCTGAACATTTTGAACAATCTCAATATTTTGTTGTTTTTTTTTTATTTGAAAAACATGATGATCTTTCTCGTATTATTTGTCCTGTATGACTTCTAATTATTGTCAATTTTCGATTTCAATCAAAAATACTTGGTTAAAATAACATAGAATATTTCGATGCATTCAATAATAAATTTATTGTTGATATATAACTATTAGGCATTACAATACCATCAACATCATATATTCATAAGAAATTATTTATTCAAGTGACTATTCGTACTCATAGAACTACATTTGAAGATTTTCACATTTTTCTTGAGTCTTTTCAAAATCTATTGAATTAAAATTCAAACATATTCCAGCAGAAGTAATTAAATAAACTTTTTTTTCTTTTCGACAACAATTAAATATAGTGAATGAGAAGTTCAAAATTGACTTTGTCTTTATAGAGTCTATTCTAAAACTTTTAAATTCATTTTCTCAAACGTTTAGAGAAATATTTTTTAATTGATTAATTTTAATTAAATATCAACTTAACCTTGAAAATGTCCGTATACACACTATATTAAATAAATAAATGAAAAGAGTATCAATTTTTATTATATGACATATTAGAAAAAGGAGAAAAATGAATAACAACATGTATTGATTATCAATTTTGACTATGGAACAATGCATTATTGTTTGTATTGACGACATCGGTCAAATAGAACAGATTATTCTATATGAATATAAATATTGACGATGATAAGTTGAATTGAATAGATCAATGAAAATGAACATGGAATATTCATGTATTGGATTAAATAATTTACCTGATGAAATTCTTATGATTATTTTTCAAAAATTGAACAATATTGATGTACTTTATTCTTTTCAAGGTGTCAATCAACGACTAAATAAAATAATTCATGATCCAATTTTTACAAGTCGTTTGTCTTTTGTCAAATGGTTATCAGATGATTTTATCGATCTATTTTGTTTTGATATAATGCTTAATCGATTTTGTTTAAAAATTCTACCTGAAATTCATGATAAAATAAAATGGCTTGATCTTGAATCATCATCTATGAAACATGTTTTACATGCTATCATTTATCCTAATTTAGATACTCTTGGTCTTTATAATATTAATGAAGAATCAGCTCGATCTCTTTTTACTGGTAAGATATTACAATTGAATTTTATTTTAAACAAATGATAAATATCAAAGACAAGATCATTGAATACATTTTTGTTTAGATGAAACTCTTTCATCTGGTATTTTCAAAAATCAGATTACAACACTTATTACAGTTTATAATCATAATGATTATGAAAAAATGATATTGTCAGTGGAAAATATATTTGATAAAATCCTGACTGTTTTTACTCGTCTGATTACTTTTGTATTATATGAATCATCGGATAGAAATTGTGTTCGATTACATTTTGATGATTTCCAACTTCCTAAGATTCGTTCTTCCACTTATGAAATTGAATATCCGTGTACATACTTTTGATGATTGTCTTTTTCTTCTCGATGGTCGTTTTAATCAACTTCACACTCTCTATGTTGATGTGAATGATATTTTTTGTATAGATGAAATTAAAAATCAAGTTCGTTTTACAAGAAAAATGTCAATATTGTGAAATTTATAAAATACATTTTCTTTTTTAGGGCGATTTACCAACTCTAAAGTGTTTTTATCTTTCTTGTAATCGAACAACATATGACTATAATGGAGCAATCCTTCCACTTCTCTATCGAATGGCAAATCTAGAAGAACTCGGTTTGTGTCTTACGGTCTATGTTCATGAAACATTTATTGATGGAAGCCATTTGAAGACAAACATTATTGATCACATGCCACGACTAAATCAATTTACATTTTCTATTCACTCATTCCTGTTTATTCGTAATGAAATGAATTTCTCATCAACACAAGATATTCAACGTACATTCATTGACTTTCCAAATAATATTATTTCTTATGTTGAGTTTTTGCCAGAGACAAAACAAAGTCTATGTCATATTTACTCATATCCATCTGTAATGCAATATTATGGCATTATTACAAATAATTTTCCAGGTGGATTATTCGAATATGTTCGTGTCATCTCATTATTTGATGAATATCCTTTTGAACATGACTTTTTTCTTCGAATTCAAAAATCATTCCCATTTATGGAAACATTATCTTTGAATAATTATAAATCACAAAATGATAAACAATCTTATCAATCAAATAATGATAATCGAAATTTATCTCTTATTAAATATTCTTTTCTTAATGAACTTTATATTATTAATGTTCATGATGATTAAATAAAAGAATTTCTATTTGATACTAAAACATGTTTCCAAAATAATGTTGATCTTCATATCAAATATGAATCTTTAGAACGAGTAACACAAAATTTCACGAGAGACGCTACACGAATTAATTGTGCCAAAATTAGTAAATTATGTTTGTCTGGTCAAAGAAAACCTTCCAATTCTTTAGAAGAATGTTTTCCTTATGCAAAAATACTTTATCCATATATTGAAATACAATAAAAGAAAATATTAAATAAAAGAAAAAAAATAAAATGAGAGAAAGTTAAAGGTTAAAGGTTAAGATTTCTAGCGTTTTCTAGAATGTTCTGTAACTTTCTAGAAGTTTCGTTAAGAACTTTATCTACAGTTAAAAGCTAAAGGTCAAAAGTCAAATAAGGTTATAAAGGGGAAGGCTCTCAAGGCCTATTTATATGAGACCTCTATAGGTCCTCAAGAGCTATTATATGGGATACTCTAGGTCCTCAAAGGCTATTATATGCGGGTATCCCATAGGCTCTGAAGGAAGTAAAGAAAAAAAGGAGTAACGGAATAAGAGAATAAGACGAAATACAAAAAGGGAGTAAGGTGATAGGGGATAAGATTACAAGAGCTACAAGAAATATAAGGCATAAGGTCGAAGGCTATATGGACTATAAAAATATGCTCGATATAAGGCTATAAGGCCGCAGGACTATCTAACTATCTATATACATAATATCGAGTGTTTGTATGTCTGTTACCGGATGTAAAGTTAAATATCTAACGTCTTACGTTAAAGGAGAAAACAGTTGTGCAGTATGCACGGGCTCTCGCTAGTTTAAAATAAATGTTAAGTTATATACAGCTTTTTCTGTTTAATAGATTCTTCAATCTGTT